GTTTAGCTCTCAGTTATTTCAGTAAATATATGCTAATTCCTTGTTACAATATATAAATGAGTAGGAAAAGATCCTAGATAAAACCCAGTGGCTTTTAAAAAAGAATGTGGTTTTTTTGGATGGGATTAGAGAAACTCAAAATAAACATATGGAAATAAATGCCAGAAGAATAAACCATTACGTTTTTAATTTTCTTAATCCAAAAGATATGTGTGTCCTAACTAAAATTTCTTTTTAAGTAGGGAATTATTACTGAAATAGATTCTGTATATAAGAAATTAAAATATGAACTACTCTTTGAGATTACATAATGGGGTTAAAATTCACATTGTTTGCCCTAATTATAAAGGCCAGGAAAGGTGCTTATGAGACTTTCAACAAGCCTTTAAAGTGTTTGCATAAGGCATGAACAAACACTGTATTCATTTAACATTTCTAAGTGCAGCCTCTATCTTAACTGTGGAACAGGAATGACAGCACTCCTCTAGAAGCACAGCAACGGCAGATGTTAAGGCTTACCACCTAACGGACAGAGCAACACTGTTACTGTGATCATTAATAAAGCTTTGAAGCTCTCATTTTAAAAATAACTACTTTCCCCATCAAACAATTTATAAATAATAAATATATTTCACCCCCCTACAGATGCACACAAATTTTCCACTTGTCTAGTCTACTTCCTTGTTGTGATCAATCAGTTCATGAAAATTAAAAATCTAAATCAAGATAAATGCAACCAAAATGCACTCCTAGTCAAGTACAGGAACACATACCTGTAATCCTAGGACTTGGGAGATAGAAGCAGAAATATCAGTTCAAAGACATCTAGCTACAGTTGTTAAGTTTGATACCAGCCTGAGCTTTATAAAACCAGTCTCAAAAAGAGAGTGAGTAGAGAGGGGAGGGAGAGAGGTATTTATGCCCCCATATGCCTGTAAGAATGTAAAAACTATTTGGAAATATGTCTACCCATCAGACAGTTACATTAGAAGAAGGGGGAAAATATCCTGTAAATATCAGGCAATAGCAATGAAATTTTTTAAAGACCATATAAGCAGACATAAAATCATACAGAAACCATCCAACAGGAAACACATACTAGTTGAGAAACTAGACATAAACTTAAAGTCTTGTAGGTAGACTTTAAAGGATCATGTTATTTAATCTCTTTTAACCATGTTCTTTGCTTTAATCTCATGATATCTGGCCAAGGGGACATGACAGCTTGCCCAAAATGATAGTGCTATGTATAAACAGAGCCAGTGCCTCCAGGCCGTGTTTCCTATCCTTTGCACTACCTGGCAGTGACTTGACTATATGAATGCATCAAAGTAATCCACTGAGAATAAAAATTTTACTTCTCTCAACTATTTGCCAACATGATCCAAACAAAACTCAACAATGTTTCATGGGGGTTAACAGAACCAAAAATGCTTCACTGTTTTGATACCGACCTTTTGACTTCCCTGCCCATGACTTTTTTCATGTTATTTAGTTGCTGGAGGGGAAAAACTGAAATTGTAGAGAGTCAAGATGAACAGTTACAAAAACCATAGATAACAGCAATCATAGAAAGTGAAAATAGTGTAGAAGGCATAATGTGTGCACAGAAAGGCTCTCCTACCAGGTGTGAGGTTCTACAGCCGTCAGACTTAAGCAAGGGTGAACTTGTTCTGCTTTGTTTCTGTCAAACAGGAAGCCCTTAGTGTACTCTACTAGGTTAATGGCTACAAAGGCTCAATTACCAGTGTCCAGTCACACAAGAGGATTTCCACAAAGGCACAAGAAAGAACAACAAAAGTCCGCATCTTCACTATTGTAGCCTTCCTCTTCATGTCAAAATCATTTCTTTTATAAAAATAGTAACAGTAAAATTTTCAAAATTATCTTCTTATATGGCAAAGTATGTTCAAGGCAATGCAATGCTGCATAAGATGCCCCTTTCCAATTATTCTGATTGTGCTCACTTTAAGTCTTAAAAGAAGTCTTCTTTAACTGAAAATCCATTGCTTACATATAAATCCTAAGTCTGAACCTAATAAGCATTCCTGAAGAAACAGTATTCTCTAGTGGCTCCTGGTTTTCTGGGTTTTGTTGCTGTTGTTGTTTTTTGGTAGACTCACTATGTATGGCTGGCCCAGAGTTCACTATGCAGATGAGGCTGGGAGATCCTCCTGCCTCTACCTCCAGGGTGCTGGGAGTAAAGTAAAGGCATGTGTTGCCACACCTAGCCCCTATAGTGGTTCTTCAACACAGTATTGCTCACAAAGGCTAACCAGACTCAAATGTCTTGGTTTTTAGCACTAATTCTGGATTCAGGTATGCTTGAATATGATACTCAATAACTGCTAACTTTATGACCTTGGAAAATTTATTGTGCCTCACTTTCATGGGAATGTATCAGTAGTTATTACTATAAAAGTAGTTATTACTATAAAAGAAGCATTTTATCAGCAACAATAAAGCAACTAATACTGAATTTACCCTATGCAAGGCACTGCCTTTTAACCTCCCATGAAACTGTATGATGCCTAGCACAGGATCTATCAGCTACTATTATAAATCGTTACCACTGTTAAGAAACATGCATAAAGCAGACATGGTTTAAGTTAGTTACCTGAGTTACACAGGATCAAGAAGAGCACCTACTAAAAGTCTAGGAACCATCAAAGATCAACTTTAGAATACAGTACAACATAGATGCTACACAGCTTCTTATCGAAAAAATTAAAAGTAAACTTTTGCTGTTTTTAACCAGACTAGGCCAATAATCCAAAGCCCTCACGTAATGTGTATAATTTCTTACCTTTCTATATACTTTTGTAGTTCCATATTTAAAAAAAAATGGAGATAATCATGTCTATCTTCTTACCACACAGAAACAGAAAGAGGGGGGTGGAAGCATCTAGCACAGTGTCTATAAAGGCTTTGTTATTGCTCCTAAAAGGTCTTTTAAAATATTTTAAGAATCTAGCAAAATAAGAAGCATTAAATGCAGGCTGAGGAGTGGCTCACTTGTCAGCACTTGCCAAACAACAAAAAAATACACTCAACGATTATGACAACTTGGTGGGGCAGTAAAGTGATACAACATGAAGTTTTGTTTTTTTAAAGTCTGTCACATGAAACTGAAGTGACCATCTAGCCTAAATTAAATAGCTATCCATGTTTAATCAGCTCTATCTCAAATGTGAGAAAAATATGAAAGAATGGCCCAGATATCACCAACAAATGTTACAACAGCCTCAGGACAAAAGATAAAGTCATACATGCCTAGCTGTCCAATGTCCAAACGCAGTAACAGAAAAACAGTCTCTACAATACCAGAGTCCCTAGACAGACCAATCCAGCAAACCCAAGTAACCTCACTCCACCTTTTTAAGCATCAAAAGGAAGAAAGCAGCAAGGCATGATAGCACATGCTGTATATAATTCTTGAACTGAGAAGACTGAGGCAGAAGAGTCCAGAGTTCATCAGCCTGGGCTACCTAAGGGAACACAAATGGGGGGGGGGGGGGGGGGGAAGAAGATTTTTAAAGCTCAGAGAATCACCTTTAGTGATTTGTGTCACTATATAAAAGTCTTGATATATTTATAGTCTCCAAGGTTGGTCATACATTAGATGTCTATTGATAACAGAGAAAAGCCTATCCCTTCATGAAAACTGTTTACTGAAGAGAACTAATCACACTATAATGTTTTCAAAATTATCATCTGATTTCTTACTGTTTATTTGTGCTTGTTAAATACTTAAAATTTCTTCTTCTGGTTTAGTTATTCTCAAAACTACTGTAAATAAGGCTTGGAGGAAGGCTCAGTAGAGAGAACTTACCTAGTAATGCATAAGGCCCCAGAGTCCATCCCTAGTACCAGGGGCAAGGGGTATTATCTAGTTGGAATGTCTTTTATTGAGGTGTAGTGGTCTTACTGGGGGTTGAACCAAAGGCCTTATATATGTTAGGTGGGTGCTTTACCGCTGAGTTCCAGCCAGGAATTTCATAATTTGTCAAGATTTAGTATGAACCAAGAATGGGTGTGCCCCACAGCTATCAATCAACCAGGACAGAAATATATTAATATATCCACGATGGCAAAATGAAATTTATTCATAAAGTTTTGAATAGGCTAATTCCAAGAAATACATTGAAATTGTGTATCTGGGGCCAGTGAGATGGCTTAGTGGATAAAGGTGACTGTTACTAAAACTAATGACCTGAGCTTGAACCCACAAAATAGGAGAGAATTGAGTCCCAGACTGTCCTATTATCCTCTGCCCTTCAAAAAAAAACCATGGAACACAGGCACTCCCCCCACACACACATCCAACATATGAATGAATGAATGAATGAATGAATGAATGAATGAATGAATGAATGAGAAAAAACTGTGAACTCCTAAAAGCTTAGCATAAATGTAAGTGTTGGCCTAGTACTAAGTCTGACTTCAAAACATAAGCAGAATGCTCGGGATCTAGATCAATGTCGAGTGCTTGAGGCCCAGAGTTCTGGGTTCAGTCACCGTCAACAGTAACTGAAAGAAAACAAAATATTTGAAGATAGTCTAGTACTAACTTTCCAAATGATTTTTACTTATTTACAGAGTAAAATATTTATGTATTTAATCTCCTTATATGCACAATTATCAACAATTTTTAAAAATTTATTATTTAGAAATAATATTTAGTTGACTCAATAAATACTTAATACCTATATTTGTGCAAAGACAAACGTAGGTGTTAAAAAAAGCACAATCATAAGCCTCACCCTCTGGAATTCAAAAATATATTTAGAAAAGTATCAAATGGTATTTTTAGTCACTCAAACAAAGTATAAGAAATATCCTAAAATAATATATAACTAGTTAATAAATAAATGACCTGATCAGTAACTGCCCTCTTACATAAACACTATCCATAAGAAAGCTTCAGAATCCATGAATATGGACTCTAAGTCAGTCAGAACTAACTACCTTACTCTTGTTTCAGAAAATTACAGACTGAGATGGACAACAGTAATTGTAAAGTTAACGCTCCTCTCCTAAGTCAAAGATACCGGAGGATGGTCACAAAAGACGGCCACAGCACACTCCAAATGGAGGGTGCTCAAAGAGGTCTTGCGTATCTGCGGGATGCGTGGGGAATCCTGATGGACATGCGCTGGCGCTGGATGATGCTGGTCTTTTCTGCTTCTTTTGTTGTCCACTGGCTTGTCTTTGCAGTACTCTGGTATGTTCTAGCTGAGATGAATGGTGATCTGGAAATAGATCACGATGCCCCACCTGAAAACCACACTATCTGTGTGAAGTACATCACCAGTTTCACAGCTGCATTCTCCTTCTCCCTGGAGACGCAACTTACAATTGGTTATGGTACCATGTTCCCCAGTGGTGACTGTCCAAGTGCAATCGCCTTACTTGCCATACAAATGCTCCTAGGCCTCATGCTAGAGGCTTTTATCACAGGTAATTATCTTTGTTTTTAAAGAAAAAAACTACTACAAGCCTTTTATAAAGTATATAGTTGGTTATAGGCAAGTCTATTATAAATAATTTATTTGTTATTATTTTAAGTAGGTGATGCCAAAAAAAAAGAAAAGAAATACTCTAGGGACAAACAATGGAAATATATGTAAAGAATACTAGAACTATGTAAGGAAAAAAAGGACCATGTCATTAACTTGCAGGAATGTACTATGCAAAAAATAATAACAAAAAGCCTAAAAGTAAATTCTCACAGAAGTATTTTGCTAAGTATGTAAGTGTATTAAACACAAATTTGAACAATCATGCTATCTGACAGAAGAATCTGACTTCTTAATCTCCTTTCTTATGGTAGGACTTTCTCCTCAGAGATCACTTACTCAATATGTACTCAATACAAGCCCACAGCAACACATTCAGCACCATGTTTTAAAGTTACAATGCAATCAGAATATGGCCATAAGCATTTGCCTATGTCTGGCAACATACAAGACTCCTCCCTCTAATGCTGGTTCCTTTTATATAACATTCACATTTTTTTAAGCACACTAATAGACCAATAGATAAGCACTAAGCATCATGAATGATGACCCACTGTGCTACCAAGTGGCTCTATATCTTGTAACAAATCACTTAACTTCTATAAGAAGGTTCACATTGGTTCCATTTTTAGATAAATTGAAGATATCCTGTGTATTTAGATGGAAATGTTTAAATTTTTGCACTAACCCCTAACTAAATTTGCCATTTCCTTCAATTATGAAGTTATACACAAATACACGATATGATATACATATTCAATTTTATAGAAATTAATAGATGGATCGGTTGGTAGATGGGTGGATGGATAACCCTACACTACCAGTAACTTTGGTATAAACAGAATCAGGTATTTCAAGTCAACTACATTACTTCAGAATTACAGTATAACCTACTGCCAGATTTTGTTAATGCACTGATATGGCATATGAAATACTGTATATTTTTCAAATGTTAACTGAATTTCAATATATTTGACTTCCTCTTTGAATTTAACATTTAAGCGCTTACAACGCAATTATGGGGTCTACAAAAATAGCTCAGTGGTTAAGAGCACTTGTTTCTCTTTTACAGAGGACCTAGGCTCAGTCCCAGAACACTTGTGGAGGCTTACAACAATGCCTTCTTCTGGCCTCCACAGGCACACATATGGTGAACAACTACAATATATGCAAGCAAAACACTCATTTGCATAAAATAAGTGATATATAAATTGTATACTCATATGTGCATATACATACAAGGATTGCATATGCCTCACCAGCCTGCCAACAGGTACACAAATGGTTAGGAAACCCTCTTCTTGAGCTGTGGGTGGTACACAAGGAATATGTACTTAAAAGATACACTGAATCACCTGATATAGTCAGCTTCCCCAAACACATCCTTCTAGAAGTTTCAAAGTTAAACATTCTTTATTGCATCATCTCTTCTTCTAGCCCTCTCCTAATCCCCTTGCACTGAATCTACTCTTTACCCCAAGTTGTACAACTGTAACCACACTGAATTTATTTCTATTACTTTTTTAAGTAAGCATGAATATAGAAAATGATCAGTTCTTGATCATTGTAACTTATAAGATAAACTTTTACATTTCTTCATAACAAATCAAATTTTTCTTACAGTCATTTTGAAATCTTGGGGTTTTTTGTTGGTTCTTAACAGAAATGTTACATATACTCTGAAAAATTCAGTTAAATGAGATTACCTGAAATTAACAATGGTATAAATTCCTTACTCAGTAGAATGAGTGAGAAATAAGTAACTACTTAACAAACTCTTCCCATTCAGAGAAAGTATTGAGATTTAATGTTTTCTATTCTTGAAAAAAAAAAAAACATTTCAATGATTTTTAATTTAGGTGCCTTTGTGGCGAAGATTGCACGGCCAAAAAATAGAGCTTTCTCAATTCGCTTCACTGACTTAGCAGTAGTAGCTCACAAAGATGGCAAGCCTAATCTTATGTTCCAAGTGGCCAACACCCGGCCCAGCCCTCTAACCAGTGTTCGGGTCTCAGCTGTACTCTATCAGGAAAGAGAAAATGGTGAACTCTACCAGACCAGTGTGGACTTCCACCTTGATGGGATCAGTTCTGAGGAATGCCCATTCTTCATCTTCCCGCTAACCTACTACCATACCATCATACCATCAAGTCCTCTAGCTACCCTGCTCCAGCATGAGAACCTTCCACACTTTGAATTGGTTGTGTTCCTCTCAGCAATGCAAGAAGGCACTGGAGAAATCTGCCAAAGGAGGACATCCTACCTACCCTCCGAGATCATGTTACATCACCACTTTGCAGCTCTGATAACTCGAGGTTCCAAAGGTGAGTATCAAGTCAAGATGGAGAATTTTGACAAGACTGTTCCTGAACATCCAACTCCTGTGGTCTCTAAGAGTCCACACAGGACTGGCCTAGATATTCATATCAATGGACAAAGCATTGACAATTTTCAGATCTCTGAAACAGGGCTGACAGAATAAGACTCACCGCACCATCCCACTTCTTAATGTATTAAATATATCCAGCCAGTTATGCAGCTATTTTCCTTCACTGTATCTCATGTTTCATTTTTCTCAATGCTGATTACATCATGTCTATGCCCACAAAAAGATGGCTAAGCTAACTACACACATCCCTGAAAACAGAAGAGTTTATGCTATCAAGTTTGTATCAGTGGTAATCTGCTCAAATCAAGGCAACTGAATCTAATAGGTACCCAATGTAACATGGTATCAATAACAAAGATAAAATCGACAGTGAAGGGCTAATACAGCTGAACTCTAAGAAAATCAGCTCTCATTTTCATCTGTAAACTGAAGCAACAGTCTAGTTTCAAACCTAGCTCCCTAGGTGGAAAGCTGATTTCACAATATCTTTAGTGAACATCCTTTTACAACTTTTATTTTTTCAAGACAGCAAATGCTATTCCTTTATTCTTTAAGCTACAAAACTAGGGTATTATCTCCCCAATTTTTAACAGCTAGGAGCAAAAATACAAAAGAAAAGTAACAATATAGATATCCGCAAAAGCATTTGACTACAACACCCAAATGCATGTACATGTGTTCATGTATTTGTGCAGAATATTCAGAACAAGTAAGAAAAGCCTGGCCCAGACAAAACCTGCAGGGTGGTATTTCTGGCAAGTGTTACAAAGCTGTATGTTTCTACTATCTTAAACTCGTACTTGCATAATACTCAAAGTAGTGATCTGAAAGCTGATCAACACCTCCTCTGAGCTGCCCCCGCCTTGAGTAAAAGCAGTTTCTTCAGACTCATTACACATTCAAGGACATAGAAAAAGTTCTACAAACTTGCTAAATACATATTATATACTAAGTTTTTATAGATACAAAGGTTTAATTAAGATATAACTCAACTAGGAAAAAAAATCTCCAATAGACAAAGCAGAAAATTAGGTAACAAAGTATTTTCAAACCCAAATTCCTGTTTCCAACATCAAATAGTTTTTTCTATAAACACAAAATGAGTGTTTATTCACCAGTAGGAGGCTGGACTAGATGATCTCTATTATTTCTTTCCAAGTCTGATATTCCATGAAAATTATGCTTTCTCTGCCTTTTTTTAATTTTATATATACTAGGATGAATGCTTTTTTATCCAGTTTAAAATAATTCTTTAAATAATTTTCATTTCAATTAAAAAATTGCTGTCCTCCAGCAAAATTTAAAAAAAAGAAAAAAGAAAAAAAGATACTATCAAGTTTCAAAGAGATCTGCAACTGCATGCCTCCTCTAACATTACCCTTATTTGGGATTAAGTGGGAAAAGTACAAAACTAACTTTCACTGTGGAGGATGACCCAGGCAGGATCATCTCGAAATACTACCACATAACAGTAATGTTACAGAGAACAGCAAATCACATTTTTCTACTCTTTGACAGAAGAAAAAGAAAATAAAGAACAACTCTTGAGTGCCCTAAAACTGATAATAACAGAAGACCATTACTTTTTATGAAGTTTTGCTTTTAAAATTGTAGGCATATATATACTCTGCCATGGCAGGCAAACCAATTGAAGACTGCTGATAAAGACAGCAGAAATTGCTATTAACAAAATTAACCTGACAGTGAAAATAAAACCTTATCTCAGACTCCCTGAATGCTTCTTCCTAAAGAACACTACATCACTTACACAGATTTCAAGTTTATCAAGCTGCCTGAGGAGACAGTGAATACATTAAGACACTTGAAACCCAAATCTCCCTACGGATGTTTCATATTCCCCAAATAAGTCAGATAAATTTCATTACATAGTTACTAGTCAGGCGAAATCTGATATCTGAAAAATTAAATGAATTCCTTACCACACATCCCCAAAACAAAACAAAACCAAGAGTTTTTTTGTGTGTGGTAGGGGTTGGACAGAACAGGCTGCTCTTGCAGAGGACCTTAATTTGATTCCCAACCCCCACATGGCAGTACTTAACCATCTCTGTAACTCGTTTCAGGAGATCAGTCGCCCTCTTCTGGCCTCCCCAGGTACTAAGCAAGCTCGAGAGTGCTTGAGCGCGCGCGCGCGCACACACACACACACACACCACACCACACACCACACCACACCACACCACACACAGTGCACAGACATGCAGACAAAACACTCATATACATCAAAATAATTTTACAAGAAACATAATTCAAAATCAATGTTCAGGGACCAGAAAGATTCTGGGAGCACTGTCCATAATTCATTTATTTCAAAGAATCATGGCTCCTAGGATTAATTTTTCTGCAAAAAGACCATTATCCCCTCAGGAATATGGAATATAAGTGGAAGAAAGGAAGAAATCACTGGGAACTCATATACTCAACAACGAAGACCACTTAACAGCCAAGTAAAGTTACTCTTGGAAACCAGTAAGAATGACGGTATTAAATAACTGAAGACAAGCAGTTACCAAAATTCTTCAACTTAAGATTTATGCTTGAAAAGTATATACTACTGGCTGCCAGGAAAAAAAAAATTCTGTAACAACAACAACAGCAATAATAATAATGATGCCATCTATCTCCAAGTACCTCACACCAAAAAGCATATTGTATCTTGCAATTCAACCTGATAGGTATTCATGTTGGTGGATTTACAAAGAGTACTGTACTATTTCCAGATACTTCACATAAAAACACATAATGTATCATATTTGGCTGAGCATACTGATGTCATGAGGATCATTTATTTTTTAATGATAATTTTCATTTCACTCTCACAGAAGCATATACAAGATGATCACAGGAACCAATCTCTCCTGTACAGCAATCATTTCCTGTTGGATAGGACTTACAAATTCTATGTTACAGGTGTTTTCCACCTATCTATTCTCCCATGGATACTCACAGGGGTAAGCCATGATTCTTACCCAGATGTTTGTAATCCTACCCATTTACCTTCACATATAAAGCAAGTGCATGTGCTAGGTCTGTAGCTCAGTGGCAGAGCACTTTCCTAGTCTTCACAAGACCCTGGGGTTTGATCCCTGGCATCAAAATAAATAAATAATTTAAAGCAAGTATGTAGCATGACCTTTCTCTAATTTTAAAAGGAACAAGCAGAGGCTGGGAGGTGGCTCAGAGGGTAAGAGCACCTGCAGTATAAGCACACAGACCTGAGTTCAAAACCTAGAATCCATGTTAAAAAAAAAAAAAGCAAGAGATGTCTCCATATACCTGTAACCCCAGAACCAGGGATGGGAGGGGACAGGACAGGCAGATTCTAGGAACTTTTTGACTAATCAGCCTAACCAAAACAGCTTCAGGCTCAGTGACAGACTCTTAAGGTAGAAAGCAACAGGGAACTCTATCTCTCTGACCTCCACACACATTTCTATGAGTATAGGAACAGACAGGCTCACATATAGAACTCACACACGCACGCACGCACGCACGCGCACACACGCAGGCACAAATAATAATTCGCCAAATAAAAAGAACAAGTCATTTTGGTACCTTTAATAATTGAATTATCTTAACTTGATGTCAAGAGACATGTCACAACTAATCAATATATCAGTTTGTCTCACAAATTAGTTTAGTACTGCTCTCCCCAAAGGGTGTTGTAATTATTAACAAATTCTAATCCATTTCACTTTCAAAAAAATATCAATTACTCACAAAGCCAGAAAAATCAGAACCCTGAACAGCTAACCTGAACTCATCAGCTTACCAAGGCATTCTATTAGATGTGTGTAAACCACTGTGCTACCAGCTAGCAAATGTGCAGTCAGCATACTGCCACCCTTAATTACACCTCTTACATTTCACAGCTCTGTTTTTATGGTTCACCCTTTTTTGTTGATGTTGAGTTGTGGGGCAAGGGGACCTTTTTAGACCAGACTACCAGTGAACTTAAGTGATCTGCTAGCCTCTTTCTCCCCAAGAGCTATGATTAAACTCCTCAACACTATGCCTAATTGGGATTCACCTTATCAAAGACATGCACATAAAGTACAAAATACTTTTCCTGCTTAAAATACAGAATGGTTAGAAAAATTAATTAGATTCATATGGTAACTACAAATGATGATGACAATGAAGTAAAACAAACTTTTACTCATTCGTTCCTAACACTAAAGTGTGAAAGTTAAAAATCAAGCTATCCTTGAGCTGGGTATGGTGGTACACACCTTTCTTTAATTCCAGCACTTAGGCAGAGGCATATGCATCTAGGTTTGAAACTAGCCTTGTCTACATAGTGAGTGTCAGCCAGGAAAAAGTGAAACTCTGCCTAAAAAAAAAAAAATCAAGCTAATCTCACCAAGAGAACTCATACTTCCCCAAAGCAACAATTTCAGAAACTGGTAGGTCATTTTAAGAATGTGTTTAACACCTGCCTCCTTGATCCTTCCACTATACAGACTTTGAAATTCACTCATATGCTCTGTAAGCTAGTATTTGTATTTGTAGTGACCCTGCAAACCCTTCTCCAAGTTCTGTCCTGCCCACAGTTTCGTCTCCTATCCAAACAACCCATTTCCTAGATGCAGTCGTCATCACAAGGCTTCAAGTGCCTTGGCCTCCAACTGCAAATCACAATCCTTTTCTTTCAAGATAAAGTGAGCACATATCTTAGGCTATCTCATAAAAGAAAAGGTGATGGGGTGGGGTGTTTGCTGGAGAGATAAATCAGTTGCTGTTCTTACAGCAGAGCAGAGTTTCCCAGCACCCTCATAGGTAGCTTAAAATTGCCTGCAACTCCAGCTGTCTCGGATCTGACATCCTCTTTCAGCCTCCACAGCAGGCACATACAGTCACATAAATAAAAAATGTGAAACTAATAAAAGGCAATGAGGCTTCCATCTTTTGGCTCACTGAGGGTAATTTAGATCCAATAAATACTGCCCTGACCTAAAAGGACACTGCTGATTAACATGAAGCTGAGGTTATCTATAAGGAGGCTGAGTCTTTCCCCCAAGAGGCTACCCCATACTTTAAATTCTGCAGCTTACTTATATAAGACTGCATTT